TTGAAAGCTTGAAAGTTTGAAAGTTTCAAGGTTTGAAGGTTTGAAGGTTTGGAAGTTTGGAAGCTTGGCAGATTGAAGGTCTGAAGGTTTGTAAGCTTAGAAGTTTGAAAGTTTGAAAGTTTGGAAGCTTAAAACTTTGAAGGTTTGTAAATTTGAAAGCTTGACAGATTGAAGGTCTGAAGGTTTGTAAGCTTGGATGCTTGAAATTTTGAAAGTTTCAAAGCTTAGAAATTTGAAGGCTTGGAAGTTTGAAAGCTTGAAAGCTTGAAAGCTTGAAGGTTTGAAGGTTTAGAAGTTTGAAAGCTTAGAAGTTTGAAAGTTTGAAAGTTTAAAAGTCTGAAAACTTGGAAATCTTGAAACTTTCAGATCTTCAAACTCTGAAACTTTCCAACATTCAATCTTTCAAAATCTCAAATTCAATTCAATTGATTGTGATAAGACGATTAGAAGCCTACTACAAGCTATCGTAGCACTTACTTTATTCTAATATTATTTATCATCTTATAACAGTACCATGCAAACTTATATATATAATGATTTAATATAACAGACATAAACATCTGTTTTTTAATGAAACTTTATGTATGGTATAGGACATATCTAAAAATGAGTTTATCTACCCTTTCCTCGCGAGCGTCTATCGAGCACAAAGGGTTAACGACGAGTCATCCAATGTTCCCGTGCTCGGTATTAAAATTACATGACAGTTTATCTTGTATCGTAGGCAAGGCGTAGTGCGTACCAATAAAAAGCACTGTCAAACGACGAGACACTGTCGTGAATCCTGTTGGCGCGGTGCCAAGCCGGCCTGCGGCAGCGACGGCATCCTCTATTCGAACACCTGCAAAATGCGAGCGAAGAACTGCGGGTAAGTCGATTCGATTCGTAGATCCTAGTTGTAAATTCGATTCGTTCCGCCGTCAGGCCGCACGCGCAATTCGCCGCGTCGTCTAATCCCGTTCGATCGTTTAGCAAGCACGTGTTCGAGGTGCCGATGTCGTTCTGCGTGTCGCGGGAGCGGACGTCCGGCGGACAATCGAACGCGTGCCCATTGGACTGCAAGAACGAGCTGGAAACGCCGACCTGCGGCTCCGACGGCAGCATCTACAGGAACGAGTGCGAGATGCAGATGCTTAATTGCGGGTCAGTCACCGGGGACGTTCGTTCTTTTAATATTGTCGCCGGACTGCGGATGCTGCGCGTGCATGCAATCTTGCCCAGTAATTTACGATAATGCGACCTAAACGGGTACTGTTTCCTTTGCGAACGGTTTCATTAGGGGACTGATCAACGGGCCTTGCGTCGGCTAGCTCGGAAAGATTAATGTCGCGACTTTCGCTGGATTTTTCGTTGTATTTTTTAACACTGGAACTACCGTACCAGTCGGAATGACTGGTTTCGATTGTCTTGTTTCGCAATGATTGATATCTTAACAGCATTGAATATTCGAAATGATCTTGAAAATAAATAGCTTGAATACTGTAATGCATGCCTGAAGAAACCGAACATAATCTATTGTTACAATTTTTATAGATTACATATCAATCGTATTCAATCCTCGGTAGTTCTAGTGTTAGAGGTCTTGTGTTGAGTTTTCTGTTGACATTTTCGCTTAGTTCTCTGTTAGATCTTTTATTGAATTTTTGTTTAGTCTTCTGTTAAGTTTTCTATTAGATCTCCTATTGAATTTTCGGTTCAATTTTCTACTAGATCTATTGAATTTTCGGTTCAATTTTCTACTAGATCTATTGAATTTTCGGTTCAATCTTCTCTTAGATCTCCCACTGAATTTCTCGTCCAATTTTCCATTACACTTTCCACCGAATCATCTACCGAGTCCTCTATCGAACTTTCCACGAAACCTTCCAGCGAATTTTCCATTAAATCACCCACCGAATCACACTAAATTCCACACCGCAATATCCTAATCATAAACGCGTCCGCAGTTCGGTCCGACGAGAAAGTTCATTATCCTCTCGAAACGCTGAACCATTAATCACGTTTACATCGGCTCCCCAGGCAAGCAAGGCGAAAGGTGAGCGTGGTGGACTTCGATAAGTGTCAGCCGCGTCTGAACAAGTGCATGAAGCAGCAGCAGCGATGCGGTAACGAGATGGACCCAGTTTGCGGCAGCGACGCGAACACGTATCCGAATCAGTGTCATTTGAACGTCGCCGTTTGCCTGTAAGTAACACGACCGCTGCGCCGGTCTTCCTCCTCCGCTCTTTCTCTCTCTCGCCGGGGAGATCGACGAAAGTAGCTCGTAACGATCGCTGTTACACGCGAACCAATTACCCCGTCACAAATATTGGCTACGGGGCGTCGTTAAACGACGCATCGATCACGCGTTAACCCGTGTCGTCACGGTTTACCTTTCCAGAAAGGGCATTCAGCTGGCTCACGTCGGGGAGTGCACGACCTTGAAGGAAACCGAACAGTGCCCCGAAGACTGCAGCGAGGTGGCCGAGGAACCAGTTTGTGGAAGCGACGGGAACGTTTACCGGTGATTAAGAGCGTTATTCGGATTCCAGGACGTCCGGCGCCGGCAGTTTTTAAGGGCGCGAGAGTCGCGAACTGTCGCATCGGTTATGAAAAAATCATCCCTTTCTCCTAATCGCTCACCTCTTACCGAAATGTCTATAGTTCTTTACCCTTTGCGAAGATTCTTCGAAGAACGCGAAACCTTCAGCAGATTCAAATTATGCGGATGCTTAACCCTTTGCGGAAGCTTCTTTGAAATATAGAAAACCGTCAGCTGTTGGAGCTAAATGATACATCGGTTGCTTAGATAATTGGAAAAGGGAAATTAGGTAATGATCTGCTGTTTTAGTAATTAAATCGTATGTTTGCGACTTAGTGTTCGCCAAAATGTTGACGTTCGTCCGCAAAGGGTTAAATAATAGAGAAAGGAAACTATGCACTGATCTCTTGCTATTTGAGTTATTAAATCATTCAACTCGGTATTCAAAATATGAAAGTTTGATGGCAAAACGTCGACATTCGTCCGCAAAGGGTTAAATATTCATTCCATCGAATGGTACAGTATATACAGTATTAATATGTAATCCGTATAAAAGTTGTAACAATAGATTATTATCAGTTTCTTTAGACACTCATTATAGTATTCAAATCAAACTATTTATTTTCAAGATAATTTCCATTATTGAGTCGACCCAACAAAATTATAAAATTTCAGATTCAATATTCTGATATCTTATCAGAAAATAATGAATATTTGTTGAGAAAAAATTCTCGAGTGCAGAGGGTTAATACCTTAAAAGCATTGAATATTCGAAATGGTTTTGAAAATAAATAGTTTCATTTGAGTACTATAATGATGCCTGAAGAAACTGAAAATAATCTATTGTTACAATTTTTATAGTTCTAGTGTTAATCTCATTGCATACACCTATGCTTTGCCCATAATTTCCAATCTCTCCATTCCACCAAGAAACTCCTAATTCTCCATCGATTCCCCAAACTTCCCCTTTCCCAAAATAGAATCCCCCATTTTACCGAGAAACGTCCGTCCAATAATCCATCATCGCATAATGCGATCCTCGAGTTCGCGAATAACGTCCGCGACTCAAGACTCAATTTCCATGCGCGTCGCAAGACCTCCATCACTTTCGCTCGAGAGCCTCCATACGCTTGTCCAGTTGATTGCCGCGCATTCTGCGACGACAATCGGCGGAATCAACTCTCCGGGGTACCCTAGAGCTCCGCCGGCACTCGACGTCCTCCCTTCTCCCCCCTCATTCCCGCGAAATTGCGCCCTTATGGACTTATCGGTTGTGCTGTTGCTTAGGTCCCTTTGCCATCTGCAGCGCGAAACGTGCGGTCAGAGGGTGGTTCAAGTTCCGGCGCAACATTGTCGTACCACGGCGCTCTGCAACCAGGTCTGCAGCGGGGAGCGCCAGTTTGTTTGCGGTTCCGACAACAAGTTCTATCGCAACGAGTGCGAGATGAAGAGGGACAATTGCGGGTAAGCAACGTACGGGCACTCGACGCGATCGCGTGCTCCCGCGCGTAAAGAACGGGCCGCTCCCGTTGGGAGACGGGAGATCGGTCGTTGATTCGAATGATACGGCCGACGTGCAGCGGCAATTTAGAGTTTGAGTCCCGGCTGGCCAAGAACCGCGCCCTCTTCGGATCGCGTGGCGCGGAGTAATGGAATGCTCGAACGGCGGAGTAAGAAGTTGATGTGTTCGGGGCCCGAGTCGGTTTTCTTTGTCCCGTGGAATGTTTCTGGTAACGGAATGCTTCTGATAGAGTGGAGCGTTCAAGGAATGACAGAATCGGAGTAGGTTGTTAGAGGTTGAAGCCTGATCAAAAATGTATTTGATAGGTTCAGATAATAGACTGAAAGAATTTCTGGAGGACCATGGAATAAGAAGTTGAGGTGTTTCGTAGAATAAAACGTGAAATAAGAGTAGAGTCGTGTTTAGAATCTGAATAGTGTCGGATATTATGTTGTATTATAATGTATACGCTAGAAGCTGAAATGTTTAGGACAAAAAGTTCACCCGTAACAAACGAATTCCCCGCAGGAAACACGTGTACGTGGTGCCAATGAAGAGATGCGTGCAGGGATTCCTGTTCCGCGGCTGCCAGAAGATCTGTCCGCCGTATTACGACCCCGTTTGCGGCACAGACGGTATGACGTACAGCAACGAGTGCTTCCTCGAGATCGAGAACTGTCGCAGTCGGAGCTTAGTCACGAAGAAGTACCACGGAGTGTGCGGTCAGCCGACAGAGGAGCCCAAGAACTACCTGTACTAAGCTGTAGAAAAGAAAACCACTCTTCCGAACATCGCCGACTTTAAGACACTCCTCGAACGGACTGTTCAAAGATAAGGAAAAACGACAGAAAAAAAGCGAAAGAAAGAAAGAAAGAAAGAAAAGCGATCGGAATCAAGTTCCTTCGAGTCGATCGATCTTCGCGCAAGACAATCCCCGCGACGACCAAACACGAATCGCGTAACGAACGGAATTCCCCCATTATCCTGGTCGCGTTGAAACGGAATTCGTTGAACGTAGTTCACTCGATTGTTTAGTGAATATCTCTTGCCTAATCGAGAAACAACATTTTTGTCGAACGACTCACGGAGCATGGATGCTCCTGCTCGAACGCGAAACGGATTTCTAACGTCCTCGTGATCGATCGTGTCCTGATCGTCGATTAATCCTGCGATCATTGATTCCTCTCACGAAGGAGCTGAGTTTCAGCGTCTCCTATTGGCATTCGTTTCTTTCTTTTTCATCGGTAATCGTGAACAACGGAGGATTAATCGGCGAACAACCGCGAGAATCTTCCCTTCGATCACCGATTATCGGGCCAAGACTGTATTTCGCGATTGTTCACGAGCACCGCGCCGTCATTCTGTAATTTATTCACGGGATTCCGGCGTTCGATCGGATAGATCCGAGCCGGGAATCCCGGCAGACCGGTCGCGCGCACAGCTCCCCTCGATACCCTTCGCCACGGTACGATCATTCTTATTTATTCTAGTATTATTATTATTATTAATTATCCCATCGTCTTTGCATCATTTCTCACCACTTTTATCGCTACCGCTGCAGTAACACGACTGTCCCCGTGATCCCCTTATTCTAATCGCAAGGGACTATTCCCCCTATCCAGCTGCTGTATCGACCCTCTGACTGCGTGATGTGTGTTCATGTTACAATTTTTAATCCTTATCATCGTATTCTTAATTTATTTATCGGACATGCGACAATCCCTTTTTTTTGTTCTTTGTATCGACACTAACACACGTGCTTCGAATGTCAATAATAAACTATAATATACATATATTTTAAGGTAAACGTTGTCTGTGGTTCAAATTTTCAAGCGAAAGTGAAACGATTCTCTAGGGAAACGAATATGAAAGAATTAACGATGATCAGTAACAATATCTTTTCTCATGAACAACCGTCGAAACTTACTGTCAAGTAAGTTCTGTGAGTTTAACACGTTGAATGCCATGTGGGTCACCGGTGACCCTGAATAAAATCGAATTACTGTTCATTCGATTGAACGATTATTCGAAAACATTTCTATATTATAATGCTACCTAATGGCTGTCATTCAGCTATAGCAATAATAATAATGCTTCAAACAAATTTAACCCTTTGCGCAAAATTTGATATTTAATATCACACCTTGTACAACGCATCAATTTGAGGAATACAAAAATAAATTTTAAAAAATATCATTATATTATAATATATAATAATAGATAATAATCTGATAATATTATTTATCAGAAAATATTAAAATACTTCTAGTGGAAAAACCTCCGAGTGCAAAGGGTTAATATCACATTTTCCCAATCTTCTGTATTTTACTCTATAAAACCATTCAACGTGTTAAATGCATGTCACCTCTCAGGATACTCAAAATTTCTCTCAACACACTTCTCCCAACAATTTACTAAAATACACTAATCACAACATAACTTACCGCCATATTCAGAGAACCCTTCAGCAACACAGTCACATAAAAACTGACAAACAACAAAAATTCAAATTCCCATCAGAATCCCCTACAGTTCCGCTCTCGAACCTCGTCGCCTCTCGTCTTTATCAGACGAGGCTTAATTACCCCTTCTCGTCGGAGGATAACCCGTCGAACCGAGGCAGCAGGTTAGCGGAAGTGCCGGTAGTCGACGCCACTCGTCGCCATTGCATCTCCGGCCGCAAGATGGCGACGACGTGCGCCGATATTGACAGGTGCTGAGAGAGCATGGCGGCCAGTGTTTACGACAACTGATCGCCACCGATCGAATCCGCGGATGATCCGAGCGTTTCGCGTGTTGTTTACGCGATCGTTGTCCCGGCACGCTGCTCGACGGAAACCAGTCCCGCGTGTCGCCCGCCGGTCCGCCCCCCGTCCGAACGGGAGCGAGTGTAACGGTCGTTCCCGGTCAGTGGAAAACGCGTGCCACGATCACGAGAGTTTCGGATCAGGTGGTGGGTCTCGCCGTTGACACGCTAGCGGCCACGAAGCGGACCGCTGGGATACCTAGGCCATCGTCTTAATCGTGAGTAACAGAATCCTCGGTTCCCCTAGAGCTAAGACGGCCGGGTCAATAGCGACGCGGCGGAACAATGGTCGACCTATTTTATTAGACCGACGGTGCTTCTGTCGAGAATTTGATAAGCGACCGGACAGCGGCAGAGGCCATCTTTGAGGCCTCCCTGTGTGCGTTGGTCACGCCGGGCCAAAAGAGGATCGCGATTACACTAGTCCGCGTTACATAAAACGCCGGAGGATGACACACGCTCGACGCCTTAGATAATCGTTACGCGAGAGGAAGGGCTTCGGGATACTCTCTACGCAGGTCTCGACCCCGTGTCCGACGGCCACGAAAGTATCGGCTGCCTCTCGGGGAACGAGCGTGCACACCGGTCACTCTAATTAGCCGTCGAGAATGACGGTTCGGGTACCCTGCCATTGGGCGAACGTTCGCATCGATCCGCCGTACGGGGGTTCGGCTTTGTTATGGTGTGCCTCGGCGAAGACAACTCGTAACCGAGTTTTATTTGGGCCATTGTCAATCGATGCCGCCGGTGCGCGGATTTTTTCGGCCATTGCACGCGACGGTTTTCCGAAGCGTCTCGGGTTATGCTTTCGGGCCGGACTTTCACTGACGACGCATTCGTCTACGTCGCGGAGGCGAGTCAGGTGGAAACGCGTGATCTGACGGTGCAAATATTTCCTCCCGCGGCGGGGGCCGGGGGGAATAATTCGATGCGAATAGTTCGCGGATGGGAACCGGACTTCCATCTTGCCGGGCCGATTCGATCGTGATGTTCGAATGACTGTTTTCATCCGTTTCACGTGACGATTAATTGTCATTTGGAATCGAGGATCTATTCGCTCGCTGATGAATTATCTTATCAGGTCAATCGTTCGATGATCGATTGAAGTTTCTTATCAACTTTTTGAAATTCACCATGCGACTCAGGTGACGTCACACGTTGCGTAACCGCCAAAATGTCAAGGGAAAATTGTCGAGGCGCGAATTGAATTAATTTGTGCCTTCGGACTAGTGTTATTACTATAACAATGTCAATAGGATTCTGTCGTAATTAAACCTCGAACTGTCTTACTGTCGATTGCGTAACATGTTCAGACCGTTAATAATTATATGTCCAATATGGACAGCACTATGCACTCAATATTTTTCTTTTCTTTATTTTATCTTCTATTGTGTACAATATTATGAACATTATATATTAATGAATTATATTGATTATATATCGATTGCATGTATACAGGCATGGGTCCAGATAGACCCGGCCTTCGCAAGGGTCCGTTCGAAAACGTTACATCGTAAATTTAATATATTTACAATATTTTTGTTCCAACGCCAACAAAGTTTTAACGCTAGATTTACGGAATGAGTCAATTTGACTCATTGAATTTTATAAGCATTATTTGGTAAATGTATGGGTCCATTTATGAGTTATGCAAATATCCTAATTGTCTACTTTTAACCCTTTGCACTCCAAAAATTTGTCACTCGAAATATTCAATTTATTTTTATGAGATACAGATGACGTTCTTTTCAACTTAACGAGGAATCTATTCACAAAATAAGGGGAACAATGGTATTTTATTTCCACGTTTCACGTATCGATAGATTACTCGAGACCTAATGTTAAATATGGAATTTTACAATTTTGATGGACCAATCGGGTTAAGCCTTTTTTTTAAGTTTTTCACTAGAAATATTTTAACATTTTCTGATGAGATAAAATCGATATTTTGTGAAGCTAAGTCGACGAGAAATCAAGCGTGCATTGAGGAACAAAGCTACTTTATTTAAACATTCCTCAAAATGATGCATTATAGGAAATATAACGTTAAATATTAAATTGTATAGTTTCACTGTATGAAATCAAGTGATAAGCGAGAGTCACCTCTCGAGTGCAAGGGTTAAACCTCTAATTTACATCTAAACGAATAAGAATTTTTCCAAGAACAATGCGGTACAGTAAAGGTCAGCAAATCCAGCGACAATTAAAAAATACTCGGTGTTTGGATATGATGTAACAGCCGAGTCGCCGAGCCCACGTGCTCCCTAACCTGTTTACACCATCCCGCCTTTGTTATCTTATCATTATCTCTCGCATCGGCGAGCAGACCGGTGGCAGTGTTTTCAGACGCGGAACCGTTTCCAACCGTCGGAATCGAGGATTTTTCACTGCCCCACGGAAAAATACGTCCCCGGCACGCAATTAAACCTATCGATCGGCGGGCAGACACGAATTCGCGGCGGCTCCTGACGGTGCCATTTCTCCCCGTCGACGTCCTGAATTTTTCCGCGTTTCTTTTTCTTCGTTTCTATGCTCGTCCGTCGATGCGACTCTACGAGCATCGCATCGGTGCACCGAAACGCCCATCGGCCCTTTAGGAAATTGCGCTGGGTACCACTTTCTTGTCATTTCTTTCATTCCTTTCGTTGCAGGTTGCTTTCCAATAGTTTGGAAATATAGCTCTTTTTATAGATTTTTAATAATACTTTGCAGCTGGTTTTTATAGATAGATTTTAGTTGATGAGAAAAATCGGATATTGAATCGTTTGATTGCATCGCGTTATCGTTATCGTTCGTTTAGCTGAATGCCACCGTTGAGTAGCATTATTTGGAATATAGAAATGTTTTCAATTAGTCACCGTCTAATTGAGTGAATCATTCGATCTGACTCTTCGTAATTAAATTTGTTCTATTCAAGCTAATTCAATTCTAACGTACCATTGCCAATCGAACGTCCAGTTTCTAATTATCAAATTATCTTCCAAATTTCACGCAGTTTCCTAGATTCTTAACACGTTGACGCGGGCCCTTTTTTAAACGTCTTAAAAAGACAACGTCAAACGACAGCGTCAACATTAAAAGATGGCAAAATTCCTCTAGATTCTCATTTTTGCGCATGTCTTGATTTATGTTTCAAAAATACACAACTCTATACGAAGCTTATAATAAACAAGCAACATTGTTTGCATACAAGGTTCGAGCAGATCAGAAGCATCCTCTTAACGATCGCGAAAGATCCCAAGCGCGATCCCCAAACAGCTCCGAAATAATCTAAAACAGCAGGGCTGCAGAAAAAATGGCACTCGTAGGATATAATTCAGGACACAAGGGGCGTAGAGGAATTTCGAACGAGCAATCGATAGCCGTCCACGATGAAGTATTTAAATTCGATCTCGTAAAGACTCGCCGCGCCGTAAAATCCGTGAAAAACGGTCGAAAGGCGATCGGGTGGGACGATTACATAACCGGATACACGCGCCGGTGAAAAAAGCGGTTGCGGCAGGTTGCAGGATATAAATCGGTAGAGTCTGCGGCCGCCGAGGATCCCGGTGACGCATTTAGCGCGGCCGCGATAAAATGATTCCGGCTGAAAGGCGCTGCGACGAAAGAAATTGGCCGGCTCCGGTTTGATGCTCGGTTCGCCGTTGTTCGAGGCACAAAGGAGCGGCAATTGGGACCGGCATCGGTCAACCAGCCGGCCACCTTGCCGCGCTCTCGCCTATTGAATGGATTTCCTAGCGAGTTGACCCGCGGATCGCCGCCAATCGACGTATCGTCTTCCTACGGTCGCGTGATTCCATCGGCGGCTCGGTATTCTCCGTTGCGTGATTGACACCGAATCGTTTGACATTTTCCGCGTCGCGTCCGGAGCGAGAGGATTCAGTGATTAGCGTCCGCGTGACGCGGTAATGGCAATAATTGCGCTGACGCTCGGATTGTTCCGTGGAGCGAGCGTAGAACGCGCCGGCCGATTCAGGGGAAAAAATGTTGGAAGATCGTCTTCTAACGAGTTGACGCGTCGCTTGAGAATGTTTTGCAAATGGATATTAAGTAATGGTTGCTGAAGCAGTGTGTAATTATCTAAGTTCTGTGAAGCTGGAGGAAGCTGCTTGGTACGATGGAAGATGAGACGCTTAAACGTTTGTTTCTCGCTTCGAGATTCACGTCGGCAGTTCATTCAATTACAGCTTGTGACGCTCTGTTTATTTATTCGAGAATATTTGGGGGTCGTTGAAATGTTACCTTTAAGTGGCACAGTTGTGATACTGCAAATAAATATAGAAAAAATTGTTGAAGGTAGAGGTTGCAATAAAATAGAATGTCGAGTCGACGTAGGACTGCTAAGGGTTAAAGGTCGTTTATGGTAATAGTTCTGTTAATCTTCTGTCTCATCAGTATTTTAACATACGAGGGGTAGTTCTCTCGCCTCCCGAAAAACTGGAAATCGACTGCAGGAATGCACTCCAATCCACTCTATATTCTCGAATTCATCTATGCCGACCCGAGCACACTTCTCTCGCGTAGAGAAAAGTTCAAAGTACTGTCTGCGTCCCACGCTTCGTTCCACTTTCCACGATCACCCAGTATACAGCTGGTCTCTGCAGAGAATAGACGTTTCTCCGGGTTCGATAGTCGATCATGTAACCGGACCAAATCGACGAGCCATCGAATCAGTCCCGGCCCCTCCGCGTAACGCGTCGAACTCATGAATCTCCAATTACTTTAGCTCACTTGGTCGATACGAGGCGAGTCCTCTTCGCCGTTGATCGCTGCGCATTCGGTTACCAAAGTGATTAAGCTCGACAAACGAACACCGGAATGTCCACGGAACTGTAACCTGAAGAACCAATCGAGAATTTTCCCGCGAAAGTTTGGGAACATTCGAAAAATGCAGTCGATCGCGTTGACCTACCGAGAGCCGAGAAACACACCGCGAAACCGCTGAAAAACCTGTAAACACTGTGGGAAGACACCGTGGGCCAGTTTCGGCGGAACAGTCAGCTCGCGGAGGAAGTCGATTACAAACTCCCGCGCGCGTTTATCGAATTAATTATACCGCGGCGGGCCGGCAACGAAATGATCTATTGTGTTTTAATGGCCGCGTCACACGCTCCAGCCTTGAGCCGGCAAGTCGAGGGAATCGACCCTCGGACCGGATCTCGAATCCTCCTTCTCCTTTGCTGTTCCTCGTCCTCTTTTTTTTCCCTTCTGCCTCTGC